TTGAAAAATTAACACAATATTACAGAAAAACAGAGAGTGGTCAAAAACTTAACCTAGCTCTCATACATCACTTGTATTTATAGTTAACCTACAATAATAAGAATTACACATACACCCTCTTACTATTAACAATTTACACATACTACCCTATTATTCTTAACAGCAGAAATGGCCATCCCTTCTCATCTTAAAGTAGAGCTAATCTCACTTCACAAAGCAGTCGTAAGTCAACCGAATTCAAGGATCTTCTGAGCATAACTGCTTGATTAGCCAAACGATCAGCAACATTAGAACAAAACCCACAAATATTAGAGCATTTTCTCGTCTCTTCTGTTCTCAGATATAAGCCACAAATATATGTAGAAAGATGAATTAGAACAAAATCCACAAAATCTAGTGTTGCTCACACAAAATTAAGGGAGAAATGCTTAATTAGGGTTTATGAAAAAGCTAGGGTTTCTTCTTCATGATGCCAAATTACATATGGACTTAGTCATATACGTATATGTGTGTGTGAATTAAGTGTAATTTGGGAGATTTTGAGGAGGAGAGAAAATATGAGAGACTAGAACTGGATTGAATGGGTTTCACATAGAACGAGAGTGAGACTGAGAGAGAGCATCGAAGGTAAGTGTAACCTATGAAAAAATTAGGGTTTGTGATGTACAAATCTATGTAGATCTATGCATATATATACAGATTTATGTATATATGCACATAGATCTATACAAGTAAAGGGTTACACTTACCTTTACAGCAAGTGAAAGCCCCTTCGTCGATCTTCTTCGTTGATCTCTGAGTGATATTGTCTTCTTCTTCGTCGTTGCTGAGATAGAAGAGAGAGAGTTGCTGAAATAGAGAAGAGAAGAGAGGGGCTGTGAGGACGTTGGATCTGTGAGGACGAAAATACAAAAAGGACCCCATATTTATAGTTGATGACATGAAGTAGTATTTTGTGGCTAACATAACTCGAAATTGAGACCTCATTTAAACAAAAAAACGCGTGTTTTATTTTTCGCATGTTTCCTGGAACAAAAATTTTTTGTTCTCATTTTTTTGTCTTGTTTCCAAGACAACTAATATAAAACAAAAAACAAAAACATTACCCAAACATATTTTTGTCTTCATTTTTTACAAAAATTAAAAACAAAAACACAAGATAGAGACAGTAAACAAACAACCCCTAAATTCTCTATATTGAGCTATGATTTCCCCCCTTGACCTTTATAGTGAACTTATTGTCAAAGAAAACTTGTGGGGCGAAGGAAGTTGAGAATGAGTTAATGTGGGGACAACGACTAAATCCTCATACAGTAGTCGTTTTACTCGCTAACCTTAGTCTAGTGCCATAGAATCTGAGCATTCATCATAATACCCATTGTTTATGCCACCTTCACCACCATTCTCAATTGTGAGTGCACTGACTATTCTCTGTGCAGACAGCTTGCCATAGTTGTTGTTGTCGCACTTTGGCCATCAATTATACTTTCTAGAACATCAGGTAGTTACTGCTATGATTTGGAACTATTCATCAAGTTTATCGAGCTCTGAAACATTCCTCGGTGAATTCCTTCACCGCTCCTATGTGAAAGATTCTTTTGGCTTTCTCTCTTTGGCCTGGTCTTTCTTCTAGCCTGTGAAGGGAGTCTGCTTGGGTAGTCTGACTAGTCATTGTGAGTAATTGGCCAACTTATGTACTTTAATTAAAATCTCGATCATTCCTATAAAAAAAAATTAAAATCTTGATCATAGAGTGCTGGGGTGGTAGATATTTGTGACATTTTGAAGGGTTTTCAAAAGGAAAACAATGCCTCCATAGATCTCTACGTTACCAACTTTCTTTTGATAAACAAGTATATTACTTGGTTGTTTGCTCCAAGGAGATTATTTTCTCAGACTTGTTGATTGCTTCAAAGAATCATATGGTCTGGAGTTGGTGTGGGGATGAAAGAGATTTTTATCTTCACAACCATAGTTGTCAAATCGTGTATCGTAAGGCGTATCATTTTTTAAAAATAGTGTTTCGCATCGTGTATCGTATATCGTAAGATACGCGTAATTTTAATTTTTAAATAATTATTAATAAAATATATGTATATACCTTTATAAAAAAGTCATAGACTTATAATAACATAGTATTTCATTAATATTCCACCAACTATTTAAGTTCCTAACATAGTTTAGTAATATCAAAATGCAAAGACCTCTAATTCATACTTCTAACATCAACTACTTGAACAACCTTAATATTAATTAGGAATTTTGAATTCAATTGAACAACATTAACAACATATTTTATTTATTTTTTTTAAATTATAACCATTGAAATGACATTATTTCACTAGCTAGTGATTTAAAAATAAGTTATTGGATAAAACAATGTCATTTTAACCCCAAAAAAAAAAAAAAAAAAAAAATAGAATCATCATGTATCGTACGTATCGAGCGTATCGTATATATCATATTGTGTATCGTATGATACGGTGCAAAAATGATACAGAGGCACGATACGTATCGTTTTTCAGGTGTATTATGACGTATCGTACGATACGTATCGCGTATTGTACGATACTAATAACTATGTTCACAACGTACCGTTTGTTATTGAGAGTCTGAAAAATGGTATTGATTTCTTGCCAATTTTTCAGAATAAAACTGAACTAGAGAGCCAACATTGTAATACTTGGAGAATCATTGACAATGGAATCCTTCTACAAATTTTTCCTTTTTTTTTTTTTTGGTTTCAAATGTAGTGGATTTGAGAGAGGGAATGAAGTATATATTTCCCAGCCGGAAAGGATTGGAATCCTTGGTTCTAATGAGTGCCACACATTTTTGTACTACTGTTCAGTATTGTGAAAAGCGAGCCTGGGCGAGAAGCGAGCCTTGATCGCCCTGAACATGCAAGGCGAAGCGAGGAAAAAGCGAGCTCAGGCGACGAAGCGAATAAATGAGCCAGAAGAGAAAAGCGAACACCTAACTGCAATTCTTTTATATTTTCCTCCTCTTCCTCCTCCTTCTTTAACATTAACCAAACTTTAGCAGAGATGATGTTATATGTGTATATATATAAAATAAATTGATTAATTCGTGTAACAATATCATATGACAATTTGTCTTATTATGATTAGATAATGTTGAATGCTTTGTTTTGATGTGAATGCTCTTATTAATCAATTTGCTTGGTTAATCAAATTGATTAATCAATTTGCTATATGCTCTATTAATTTAATTAATCAATTTGTGAGTGCTATGTTTAGTGGTGATATTAATGTGGTGATATTAATCAATCACGGTAGAAGTCGAACCCACATTTGTTAATTTTACATTTAGATGACGTGATTATTGCAATTGATTATTTTTAGAATACAATAATGTTCAATATTTAATATTTTGTCTATTTAAAATATGTTGATATTTATTATTTTGATTGCATTTAAATATTTTATATTTGTAAAGTTAAAACTTAAATATTTAGGAGTAACCAAAGTATGAAACTAAAATATTTACTTATTTTTTTATATTGTTCGCTTTGCTTCAACGAAGCGCTCGCTTCGCTTCTCGCCTAGGCCCTTAGGAGACCGGTTCGCTTCGATTCGTTTTACGCCTTAAATAACACTGCTACTGTTTGAAGACAAGTGATTGAGGTTGGGTCATATATCGAGTAGGACTGTGCTTCTCCCTAATATTTGTTGTAGGAGAGCTGTAGAAAACTCATGATTCTGACACCCTACAATTGAATTTGTGGCAAGTTTTTGCTACGCAAAGCTTTTAGATTTAGATTTTGTGATGTGAATGAAAGATTAATAAGGTTTGGAGATGGATAAGAGCTGGAATGGGATTTATTAGGGAAGTTTCTGACTGAATAATTTGCAGGAAATTCTGTATGGTAGTAATTTTGAGGTTTCTGGGTAGATTTAATAGCCCAAGAGAGTGGTAATGTTAGGGTAGAGTTTAGGAATAAATTGGTGTCCGATTTAGACTGCGGATAGTAACTTTAGTGAAGAAAGACGGCAAAGAAGAATACTTCACTAATGAAAGGGTTTGCAAGATCACAAATATCAATTTCTCACAAAACTATACTCTTTCTAAGTAGAATACTACATAGACCTTTATAACCTAATGGTTTCCACCAAATTCAACCAGGATGAAGTCTCAAAACCTAAAATTTGCGACTGTGACTCTAAGATGATTCTAGACTATGATGAATAAACTCAACTATTGTAACTCAACTCTAATTAAGATTGATGAATTATGGTTCATGTACAGCATCTATTGACTTGAATTCAAATTTATAGTCCCACTTATATTGGGTACTAGGAAAAGTAGACGAGAAACATCTAATCTTTGGCACATTTATTCACAAATAGGCTATCCTTAGATTCAAGTGCTTGACATCCTAATCATGTTCCCCCTGTACCAAATAATGACCTAAAAATTTAACCCAGGCATTGATTACGATATATTCAAAGCATGCTTCACCCAAAAATCTTGATTTTCACTTTTCTTGTTTCCACTAATTTGTGTTCATATGTGATTAGGGCATGGGATTGTCGGATAATCTCTTTCTATATTGTCCACTGACTTTTTCTGTTTTAGGCCAATTGAGGGCAGCATCTGAAGCATCCCCGCTCCCTTAAACCCCAACCCCACCCCCCCCCAAAAAAAAAAAAAAGAATATAAGAGAAGAGAACATCCCAAAAAAATGTAGTTTGGCTTTTTGATAAGTCAGTTTAGTATTTGCATGCTTCCTGTGTAAGTTTACTTCATACTCCATCGTTTCTCTTGAATTATATCGTTTCTTTATCCATTTGGAAATGACCAAAAAAGGAGGCAGAATTGAATGAACTTAAATCAGTTGATTTCACTGTTTGGCTGCAGACTATGATCAACATGAAACTAAAATGTGAAAGCTTATACTATCCATGCAATAATTGTTGACTTGCATTGCTTTGATATAGGAGTCACTTGACTATGTTTCTGATATATTCTAATTTTGAATGCAGGTGCATCCAAATGTTCCCTGCATGCTCTTCACACCAATATGCCCACACTCCCTATCATTCAGACCAGTTATATTGCCCGATTCTGCAAGGCTTGAATTAAAGGTGATTTTTGTGCAATTATCTTACACCGGAGAATGCTGGAATAATCGTAGTTTCCTGATATATTTTTTTTGTAGTGCATGGTGCTAAATGATATTCTTCTATTTCTTGGGAGGCAATTATAGGTTTTCAAATCTTGTATGTTGCTTTGCTCTGCATAGCATATGAAATTCATAAGACAGAAATTAACTGCAAAAACCTGCAATCTAGGCATTGACAGTGGAGGAGGGGATAGTTGTTTTAACTCTCTATTCTCTCCTGGATTTGTTCTGGATCATTTTTTCCAGTGATGCTAAACTAGTTACATGTATTAATTAGATTGTAGGTGTCAAGTGCGTTTGTGGGTAGGGTCCATTAACCCAGTATTTGTATCATAGGCTGTTCGCAATCCACATTTTGATGCATATTTTAAGGATGTTTTCAGAGCATACAGCTGGGACAATGTGGGTTATATTGACTGTACTATGTAACTATATTGAATACACGGGCCATAAAGATTGTCTCTAAGCAAAGATATTCAATTTCATTGTAGATAAATTCTGTATGAGTATTTTAACTGCTAAAAAACAGTTCTCTTCCGTGTAGGTAATGTGCATTCAAGAATAGTATAGTCATCTCAATCATATGATTTCAAGTTCATGCATTCACAACAAGAATATGATCTGAAGTAGGAGGGGAAATAGCTTTTCAGGTTTGGATTCATCTAGGCTATTGGTATCAAGAATGGTTTGCTTAAGTGAAATTCTTGAATAAATAGCGAATTCCTAGTCTGTTCATGATTGTGGGCAGACAAAACCTGTTCATTATTGTTTGTCAAACTCGTTGCTCATTACTTATTAGTGATTTGTATGTGTCTTGGTATGTGAGAAGCTATTCTAGGATATTTGGGGTGACAACTTTTCTGGTTTTTCTTCATGGTTGTTGCTTTGTCTTTGATATGTCCGTTTGTTCATTTACAATCATTTATTCATATATTCTTACTCGTTTCACAAAATTTAAATGGATAAAAGAGAAACAGTTCTATGTAAACTTCACTTGATTTTCCGTATCCTGTCAGAAGTAATGTTTTACTTAAGGTATTGATTGCATGTGTAACTCTAAGCAGAAGAAAATGTAGTAGTGATGTGCTCTATTGTTTAGGATTTGATGTTCAAGCTTCTTTATTTTCAAATGAAAAAGTGTAAACCAAGATGCTGTAAATAATCCTGTCAGAAGATCCAAATGTTAAGATTTATTCTTATTTTCCTTTTTAAAAGAATGAAGATAGATGCCCTAGAATTTGATTTGAGCTTAAATTCTTTTATAAGTGGTTTGATTTCAATGTTTTGAGCTTAAACTTTTCCTCAAATTCTATCATATTCTGTCTAAGCAATGGATAACTATCATGCGCAAAACTTCAGGACCTCAGCCTCCAGTTTTGTCTCAGCTACAAAACACCCTTTTGTCACACATGTGAACGCACATTTTGTCAGTGGTTTTGATTAAGTAGAATGCTGGAACATTGCCTTATGCATTCCGGTCTATTCAAAATCTGCGAGTAATGAATTGTCTTATTGTCCATAACATCCTTTGATCTTATAGCTATGAAAACCATTTGTGTTTGAATAGATCCCAGATGATGCACGAAGCAATGCTTGGGTCTCGTTTGATGGGAAGAGAAGGCAACAACTGTCGAGAGGAGATTCTGTAAGGATATGTATGAGCCAGCATCCACTTCCAACAGTCAACAAATGCGACCAGACAGGTGATTGGTTCCGCAGCTTGATTCGCTGCCTGAATTGGAATGAAAGACTAGATCAGAAGGCTCTTTGAAGCATCTGAGCCTATTCCGTCATGGTTGGGGTTCATGTGAATTACTGTACAGAATATAAGGTAAACAAGTTACAAATAAACCCACTTAAAAAGAATACTTACCATTGTATAGTCATTCGAAAGGTTTAGTCTTAGTAATTTTAATGGGTCTGCAGGATCAATGCTTCTTGCTCGACTTCTTGCGCTTGTGTTTTATTTTACATGCAAACACCTGTGAGACTAGTAGAACCCATAAAACCGAACAAATAACTCAAAAAAACAGAATAAACGGGTTGATGCACCATTCCCAACTTCATAATGCCTTGAATTTTTCGTTGCATTGGAGTGGCATAGCCCCAAAAACTTTTTTTACCTGATAATAATATGAAGAAGAAACTATGGACTACTTCAGGATTGTACTACAGTGAATTAGCTTACGAGGAATAAATAAAAGGGTTTGTAGCAAGTGCAGAAGATCATGTGCTAATAATGTGCTAATAATAGCCATACTGAATGGTTTCTTGGAACTTATCCCAGCTTGAACATGAGGTGATTCAGATGTCGTCTAATCGGTGGGGCTGCTTGTAAGAGTAACTGACTAAAAGGGTAAAATAAACCAGCGTTGATGAGGCTGCAAATTCCCCATCTTTGTATGTCAGCAACACAAAGTTTAAGATTACCACAAAACTGAGAAATGACAGTTGACTTTATTATTATATGCAAAAAAATTTGGAATGCAAATGTTTGACTAACTTGTTCATACGAAAAATGGGTTCGCAGATCTTGTAGTAGACACCAATTAGAATGATTGACAAAGATTGTTTTTGTTTTTGTTTTTGTTTTTATTTTGAGTATCATTTAAATCAAAATATAAACTTACTTTGATTTATTCTTGTTTTTTTGGGGTTAATACTTTGATTTATTCTTGGCTAACATCTGGGGTGGGGGATAGTTATGGTTCAAATCCAAATTCAAGTCCAAGTCCAACTATGCTCCTCGACTTGGTATCTTTACTCTACTACTCCTGTGATGTGAGCGGTTCAAATAACAATAGGGGATTGGTAGTTATAATCGGTACTAGATTTTTCTCAACTAACATCCAACCACTTTATTACCTTATTTGGTAAGGTGACAAACCCAGGCAACTGGGATGACAAAGATGGCTTTTTTTTTCCTTCTCCTTTTGCAATTATAAGTGATTAGAGGAGAAGAAAGAACCCAACTTCTCAACACCTTTCATGGGTTCTCAAGTGGGAGAAAAGTGTCAAGAGACATGCATTGGTAGGATGTCTTACTCTCGAACACTTTGTTACTATTGATGGCACTACCAGCCTTTTTCTTTTACAAATTCCAATTTAGTTTTTCCACTAAAGTGAATGATGCACTTGTTGTGTAACTAAAAAGAAATTGATATTGACAAAACATGACTGATTTGAAATGGTTGAAGGAAAGATTTATTGAGTCAATTTGAGTTATATTGTATTTTATGAAGAGCAAACTGAAAAATATCAACACTCTCATAAGGATATATTTCAATATCATTCGAGATTAAAGAAAAATTAGCTTCAGTCACTTCCGAGCATATATGTATTATTCAATGTTTCTAAGATGGATCAAAATTATAATTTTTGTTAGCATTATAAAATATTTTTTTGGGGTATATTTAGCATTATAAACTTACATATCTCAATATTATAATCATTTTAGGTACTTTGGACATTGAACATTATTTTAGCAAACGATATATCTCTGAAGTTGACTACAAAAAAATGCATTATTAAAATTTTGTTTCTGTAAATAATGTGCATGCAAACAAAATCACTATAAAACCATTGCATATAGTTACACTGAATATTTATACGACTAAAGCAAAGATTGTTTAACAGTTTATATTGCATCTTTTACCATTAATGTTTACACCGACTTTTATTTTGGTCATAAATGTGTTTTTCTATCAATTTTATCTTTTAACTTTTGACTCGATGTTAATTTAGTCATATCAGTTATGTGTCGAAAACTTGATGAAAAGTACCACGTGTCACCATAGATAAATGACATGTGTGCATAAAGAGTCGAATGTTGTTTTGAAAAATTTATGCGTTTTCTTCTGTGAAAAATTTATCTACTATGATTATAAATTGGATTGAACAAACACTATGTCAACAGTTGAAACACAAAGTGGCACAAAGAAATTTGAGGAACAAAGTGTGAATGGGCCGATACTTTAGAGGTTAAAAAAAAACTAAAATTTAAAATGCAAATCAAGTTTGAACCGTTAACTAACAACTAACTCTAATTAGGTCTGACCATTGCCTGACATTAAGATCAAATTTTGTTTTGAAATGGTAAGGAGACCAAAATGAAACAACGATGAAATTAAAATTATAATATTTTGAGGTGTTTTGACATATTTTCTCCATTGTTTTAGAATATTTCAATGTGTTTCAAGATATTTCGGTAAATCTGAGGAATGTTTTGGAATGTCTCGAAAATAAATCTCCAATTTTTTTTTCGTTTTTATTCTGTTTTCTAAATATTTTTGAAATGTTTCCGTTATCTAGGTAACCGAAATAATGCATCGAAATAAAATTTTGATTCTAATATTTCTATGAAACCAGAAGTGTCAAAATTAAATTTTTTATAATTTCCATGCAAGATTATACCTTTTTTATCTGTTACTAAACAACAAAGCATTAACCTAGTAAGGTCATTCACATTCATTGACTTCCCCATGAAACTTGGCCAACCTTATTACGTGCAGGTAACCTGGACCTTTCTGATGAGATTGGCTAAAGAATAATCAAATTCAAATGCAAAGACCACAATTAAAATCTATGTACAGGCAATCTGGACCAATTCTATGTTACCCTGATGAAATATGAATTCATTGTGAGCGACACTATCTGTCAGCAGCATGTGTTTGTGTGTGTGTGTGAGAGAGAGAGAGAGGGGCTTCTTCAAATGGAAGGAATGGAATCAGTATTTCCCTGCCATGCATGAACATTACTCAGTTTCAGCTCTTCGAAGACAACTCTGATCCAATCATGGAACAGTGTCTTGGGGGAATAAATTTCGGTTTTTACATTTCAGTTTCAAGTTTGAGTCTCGTAAAAGATATCTTATGGTTCATGAATCGATACAAGTTGTTTGCAGTTGTTTGAATATATATATAAGTAATGATCACGGGTTATAACATCTATATAATAAAGTAGTTTACAATTCAAATTTTAAAAGATAAACAAAATAATTTTTGTTTTTCGCGGTTCAGATCGCTTTAAATTATATTTTAAAGTTAATCTAACAGCTAATATTAACACTCTAAATTTAATAGAAAAAATAGGTTTCTAAGGTCTGTTTGGAGTTATTTTTTAAAAGTACTTTTAGAAATTATTTCTCACAAGTACTTTAAAAAAATAGTGTTTGAAACCGCCCCATTATAACCTCTACCACCATCACCACCGCCGTCGCCACCACCTCACCACCACCACCACCGCCACCGTTGCTGCCGCAGCTACCACCACCATTACCACTACCACGGTCATTGCTACTCACTACAACTATCATCGTCTCCAACTATTATCACTGTCACCCATCATCTCTCACCGTTATTACAATCGATGCTTAAATTTATTTATTTTGAATATTAATAAAAATATGTTTATTGTTTACAATTTTTTATTATTATGTACTTTCAGATACAGGCAATAACTAGTAATATTATAAGAGACCTCATTTGTGAAAGGACAAAATTTTGCAAAAAAGAGTTGAAGCCATCCTCATATGACGTTTGCCTTGTTTCCGGAGTTTAATGTCTAATCTTTTAATAATCTATATAATAAAATAGAGCATATCCCACCTAAACTCCTAATTCATAAAAAGTTAATGACCTACATCATTTAGATTTGATGACTTATCTTACAATTAATATTTTAACCACACTAAACCTACCAAATTTTAACTTCAACACAATAAATTTTTTACCAAATTTATCTTTTAACCATCATAAAATCTTAACCGCACTAAATATTATAACCATAGTAAACATCTAATTACAGTAAAAAAAAAATGTAATTTACAAAAAAAAGAAAAGAGATATAATAACTAAGAGAAAAAAAATAGTGTTTGGCCTCTCACAAATTTGATATGAATTTACACGACCAATCGTTTTGGTAGAAATATAGCATGGTGGGATTTCTTTTTCCTTCTTTTCACTTGATTTTTGTTAATAGTCATATCTGAAAATGCTGTTGAAGGCTGAGTATTCTTTTCTTAATTTGAATATGTGCCTAAGGTCGTAATTCTTTTGGTTTTTAGATTTGAGTATCGAGGGCAATGACATAACGATTCTTGTTTTGTGATAGTCGTATTCCTATGTTGACATTATTTGTCCCTCAGTCTAGTTGGAGTTTGACTACGATTCAATCCATTCAAAAGAGTGTTGTTTACTTCTTCCTGTCCTTATTACATACTAAAAAAGTAGTAGGAAACTCAAAAACCAAACTTCATACTAAAAGTAAATGCATACTTTCCATTTGGAAGAAGAAGTACCCGTTGATAACATGTAGCAACTCTAAAAATTGAGAAAATAATGTCAAACTATCAATCTAGTGTAATTAATTCCAAAACTTAAGTTGTGATGGAATGGGTGCAACGATACATGTCTACCTCCCAACAAGTAAGTGCAATTCGCTCTCGCGTAGAATAGGCATATTACTATATATATCGATATGAATAAAAACATAAAAATTGGGTGCAACATAATACACCTATACAAAAGGATTCAAGATCGTAGGGAAATAAAACCCTTATACTATGTCAGTTAATTAATTGTTTTAAAAATAATTTTAAATTTTAAAAATGAACCTTCCAACATTTATTCAGACAAATAAAAGCAAAAATTTTAAAAAAATCACATTCAATGCGCAGCCTTTACGGCATTCCTCTATTGAATTCTCAATAACAAGTTGGCATTTGGCCACCCAACCCATGTTCTGTTCAACGAACTTTACATTATTAATAGA